AGCAGGTCCGAGCTGTAATGGCGCAGCTCTATTCTGGAAAAGGGGGCTGGGAGCAGCAGCTCATTTGCATTTAAAGAGACACGCACGAAAACAGCGTGTTTCTGCTTCCACTAAATGATAAATGAATAATAAATGATCTGTGGAGTGTTTTGAGCTGAAACTTCACAGACACATTCTGGGGACACCTGAGACTTATATTACATATTGTAAAAAGGGGCATAATATGTCTCCTTTAAGTGAGCTGTTTTTCTTTTCTTCGCCGTCTCACTCGCTCGGTGGATCTCGGCCAAGCGGTCGATTAACCCTGGTCTCTCTATCTGTCTCTGATCTGCAGGGTTCACAGGACACGATGGGAGCGCCGGAAGATGTGGTGGCTCCGTTCTCCTCCTTCCCTCCTCCTCCACCTCCTCCTCCTCAGAACGGCCTGGCGCTGGAGTTTGGGGGTGGCAGCATTTACCCCGCAGGGGGGCAAACGGAGGCCCCAGCAGGAGCCAGCAGCACCTCCTCTAACCCCAGCGCTCAAGTAAGTGCTAAAGCTCCTCGAGCAGATGGTGACGTCTGAGCGCTCGCACCATTTGGGCAGCTGGAACAACAAATGTGTCGAACAACTTCCTGTCACTCAGTCTTTGGTCTCGGTGGCCCCACATGAATCATCGCAAACGCCTGTATTTTGTTGAGTTTGTCTCTCTCTCTCTCTCTCTCTCGGTCTCTCAGATGTCAGACAGCTCTACTCAGGCAGAAGATCAGTGTGTTTCTGCCAGCGGTTCGGGTAGCAACGAGTCCTCCGAGGCCAAAGGAACCCCGAAACGCCTCCACGTTTCTAACATCCCCTTCCGCTTCAGAGACCCAGACCTGCGGCAGATGTTTGGGGTACTGCAGGCTTTATAGGCTTCAGGGTTTATTCCTCAGATGATTTTAGAAAGACATGATGACAAACTGTGGTGTGTTTAAGGGCCAGTTCTGCCCCCTGGTGCCCGAGATTGTAACCACATGTTAAAGTTGTAAATGCAGCTCTTCTTTTATAATGACCCGTTTGTAGGCATTATGCAAACAGCTGTGGGTTTGTTTATGTTGAGCATTCTCTCTCTCTCTCTCTCTCTGTGTGTGTGTGTGTGTTTATTTTTTAGCAATTTGGAAAGATTCTGGATGTGGAGATCATTTTCAATGAGAGGGGCTCAAAGGTAAGAAACTGTTTTAAAATCATGCATTTGAAAATGATCTGATTAGATGTTATTATTAATATTTATTTTTTAAAGCCCATTAATGCCCATCTATTATCATTATTTATGCTAAGTTGAATCAAAATATTTCTTTCTAAAGCTACTTTTTGTAAGGTCTATTCAATGCTTTACTCGTCTTACACAATGTTTTTAAATGATCTTTTAGGGGGTATATTCTCAGCTAAAATTGATGTGTGATTAATCAGATCTAGAATTAGATTAATTAGCATCTAGTGGATACATCATGGTGTTGCAGATGATTCTGAATATGAACGGGCCTCCTCAAATTAATAATTTGACAAGTATTTAAGCTAAAATCCTAGTAGTATCCCTGGAACATGTTTTGTCTTTAAAATACAACCTTGTAAATTGGATGAGAATTTATTTGCAACAAGTAATGACTCCAGCGTAAAGATGAAAGTCTCACGGACGTGTCTGTCATAAGCTTTCTGCTAAACCTCTCCTTTCTGGGAGCGTTTTGGGGTGAATTGTTCCTTTAAGCTGGATGTGTTTCGGAGGTCCGACGCTTCATGTGTGTTCCTCTCTGTCGTGGTCCAGGGCTTTGGTTTTGTGACGTTTGAGGGCAGTGCAGATGCAGAGAAAGCACGAGCACGTCTCCACGGGACCATCGTGGAGGGACGGAAGATCGAGGTGAGTCTGTCTTTCTCCTTCTGATGTTCCCATTTTACTCCTTTACTGACCAAACATGTCCTGGAACTGCTTAAGATGCTCAGCTGTGTGTGTGTGTTGCATTATGGGAAGTGTGTGTGTGTGTGTGTGAGCTTAGCAATGCATGGTTGCATCTCTACTGCAGTCCACTTTAGATTCTGTGAGTTTTTCTCTGTTTCTCGGCTGTTTTTTGGATTGGTTGTTGTCTGGCTGAGTGTCGGTTATTAACAGCATGCGGTTATTTTCCCTTTTTTAAGTTCATGATCTGATTTGTACTGAGCATGCTCACAGTTAGCCAATCACGTGCGTGCGTTTGATGCTGTTTCTGTTTCTTCTGGTTTGAATGGCTTTTTTGTTCATGAAACATTTGCTTGGATTCTTACGATACAAGAGGACTGACGATTCTGAATGCTTTTCACAACTTTGGTGTTGTACCTTTATTACGGCATTCGTGTGCATTCTGTGAGAAAACGGCTCACTTTCAGATGCTTGTGTACTCGTTGTTTTTAGTGCATTTGTAGATTGCTCTTTGAATCTTGGAGATGAGAAGAAGCTTGTTGCTTGCTGTGAGTGTGTGTGTGTGAGTGTGTGTGTGTTGTTATGTTTGTGTGTATAAGTGTGTGTGGTTTGTGTGTGTGTGTTGTGAGTGTGTGAGTGAGTGTGTGTGTTGTGTGTGTATAAGTGTGAGTGTGTGTGTGTATAAGTGTGTGTGTGTTGTGAGTGAGTGTGTGTGTGTGTTGTGTGTGTGTGTGTGTGTGTGTGTATAAGTGTGTGTGTGTGTATAAGTGTGAGTGTGTGTGTGTGTGTATGTGGGAGTGTGTGTGTGTGTGTATATGTGTATAAGTGTGTGTGTGCTGTTGAGTGCTGCATGGAGCCACGTGTGTTTCCCCTCGTGAGGCCCAGTGTGTTGCAGTGCTGGTTTCTGGGTGTTTTATAGTTCTTGAACTCCTGCATGACCTCTGAGACGCTGCCTGTGTTTGTCTCTCATAGACGGGGGAATAAGGTTTTTTTTTTTTTTTTGCTCACTTCAGGCTGTAATCCCAAGTGAAGTCATTTTTATTTCTAAATTAATCGGGAAGTTTGTTTTAGGACTAAGTGTGTAGATCAGGGGTGTCAAACTCATTTTAGGTCAAAGGCTAAATTGCATGAAGTCGTGTGGCCGAATGTTTTCTGTTGTCTGTGTAACTGACCGCTCGTGTTAGTAAAGCTGCGCTCGCTCGCTCTGCCGTCTCTATTAGTGTGATTATAAAAGAATGCAATAATTCACATCCAGCTCGTTTTGACAGGTAAGTAGCTGTTTATTATGGGGATAATTTACAGTTAGCTGGCCATTATCATAAAAGCCACTTCAGTGCAAGACAGTGCTGTCAGGCTTTATTCTGCCACGATGACTGGCTGACTGTACATTATCACTCACTTTATAACCAAATAAAAGGCATTCATTCCACTCAAGCTCCTTTTTAATGTAAACAGAAAACATTTGTACATTTTATCATTTTTGTCTTGTATTAATCTTAAATATAGTTTTTTGTTAATTGCATGCCACTTATTTGTTCTCACCATAAAGATAGCCATGCTTCTGACGGCATTAAAAATAAAATAAAATGGATAGCATGCATGCAAAAGTGCTAATTAGTCTCCTCAATTTTGATTTGCATTTTCTATTAAATTTGTTTTTGAAATTATAAGAGTCATTTATCACTTTTTACCCGTGATATTTTTCATTTGTCTTCCAGATTCAATTTCAAACGTGCACATTTTAATAGCTGCATGCAATTACTTGCACGACATGACGACTCACACAAGCGTTCCTACGTTCTGCTTAATTAGCACAAAATGATTTTTTTTTACCCATAAATCCACTGTGTCTGATGGAGTTTGGCACCCCTGGTGTAGATGCATGACGCCTGCACCGTTGCTCTGCAGCGCCCCCTGGTGTCCGTGGCTGTTTGTGCATGGGCGCGCAGCGGCGAAGCTTCGTTTGGGTTTGCATGAGTCTGATCGCTTCAGAACATCAGATTCATCAGAAAGCAGGAAAACCGGGTTTAATCTGGGCAGCAGCACTTTATAACCGAATCAGTTTCATTTAGTTTCATTTGTTTGCTTTTTGAATGCCATTGTTTTCACTGTCAGATTCCTTTGATTTGAATAATTTGAAGAGAAGTTGAATTATCTGCCATGATATTATTATGTTGTATGTAATGACACCCTAATGTTTGTTTGTGTTTTCTGGAGAGCAGATCTGTGGAGAGAGCGATGCGCAGTCATCAAGCTCTTCACTCATGTCTCTCTCTCTCTCTCTCTCTCTCTCTCTGGCCAGTCTGTCTGTCCAGCTCTGCACTCTCACTGTGTTTCCTGTCTGTTGCATCACTTCCTGTCCCTGTGTCTATTTTGATTTTGCCTCTGATGTCACTGTCTAGGCCCCTCCCCTGAGTGATGTCATTAGCTCGGCATGTTAGCCTCACTAACTGCTCTCTTAGACATGATTCCACTCGCTTCTATTTTGGCCCGTAGCTCCAGCTTTGACTCAGTCGCAGACTCGCTCTGTGCTGCATTTTCATTGTGTGTGTTTGTGTGTGTGTGTGTGTGTTTGAGTTCCTCTAATCATTCGTCCCTTTCTCCTCCTCCTCTGCGACACAGATGAATGCGGCTGCTCTTTAGCGCTCCTACAGACAGATTTGATCACCTGAAGATTTGTCTTGCTGTTGTTGTGTGAATGTCCCCTCTCTGACTTTGAGTTCCTCACCGGACGTTGCTTTGTTTTCCTCTCCTCTCCTCTCCTCTCCGGTTGTTCACTCATTCTTGGCATAGTTTTGTTGGTTTCTCTTGGGTTTGTTTTTCTCTTCTTGTTTATTTTCTCCTTTTCTGTTCCCTTGACGATTTCTGTGTGTTGTTGTTGTTGTCAGTCTCCACGGTAACTGCTCGCGTGTCGTCACGCCGTTTCCTGGCTCATGGTAAGTTTGTGTATGTACAGCTTCATCCCTGATCAATCTCACCAGCTCAAACCCCTGAGATCTAAACTCAGCCCTCCCCAGCTTTACAAACTGTGGTCTTTCGCACTGATTAGCTTGTTATTTTCGGAGGGAACAGAGATGCGTTAGAGTCCTCGTTGTGAAGTGTGACCGAGCGCATCCTCCGTCTGTTCTCGGCTAGCGCAGGCGCATCTCTCCCTGAGGTCTGTCCTGATATACTGTTCATCAGAGGCATGGGGAAAAGAGCTTTATGAAATCATCATCATGTTATTATAGTCGCTGAGGACCACAGATTCTGACAGAAATGATATTCCCTCCCCAGCGCTCACCATTGCTCCTCCTTTCTCCATCGCTCTCATGATCATTAACACTTTCCCACGCACTGACCGTCACGCTAAACCCTCCATCTCTCCTGTGGTTCTGATGAGCTCTCGTTAGGGCTGGGCGTTATGACCAGAGTCTCGCGTCACGCTAACCGCATGTATTCTTCATAATATGGACTCATTTGTCCCGGAAATCCAATGAGGTAATGGTGTGTATTTTAATAAGCATGTGCCAGTGGCTTTTTTCATAAAGCTGTGAATTCGGAAAAATCTCTTTTCATTTGGAAGTCGATGGACGCAAACCAAAAGATCAGATCTTTTAACAGATGAATGATGCAGAAATAGCGTCACGTGATGTAATCAGACCGGAGCCAGTTACAGTGTATCCTAAGTCACAGCTTACACACTACTAAATATCTGTGTTGCACCCTTAAACTTGGCTGAAATATAACGCTACTAAACTAAAACTAACACTCTACAGTAGCATCTGGCAAGTAATAATGATTGGAATAAAACAGCAGATTGAATTGCATCAATAACAGAAAAATAATGTCTATAACATCTTAATATCTTCATGTCATTATAGTTGCATTTAGCAGACTAGAGCTGGAGGATAATATGTGACTCTGGAGCACAAAAGCAGTGTTAAGTCGCTGGGGTATATTTGTAGCAATAGCCAACAATACATTGTATGGGTCACAATTATAGATTTTTCTTTTATGCCAAAAATCATTAGGATATTAAGTAAAGATCATGTTCCATGAAGATATTTTGTAAATGTCCTACCGTAAATATATCAGAACTTAATGTTTGATTAGTAATATGCATTGCTAAGAACTTCATTTGAACAACTTTAAAGATGATTTTCTCAATATTTAGATTTTTTTGCACCCTCAGATTCCAGATTTTCAAATAGTTGTATCTCAGCCAAATATTGTCCTATCCTAACAAACCATACATCAATGGAAAGCTTATTTATTCAGCTTTCAGCTGAGGCATAAATCTCAATTTCGAAAAATTGACCCTTATGACTGGTTTTGTGCTCCAGGGTCACATATAGTTTACAATATCAACTTGTCATCAGCTGGAGCGTCAGCTACGATCTGAACATCAGCGTCTGATCTCACTGATGCTCTGGAGTCTGAACGGGACCAAATCCTGCATCCGTGTTCAACATCTAGTGGAAGATCTTCCCAGAAGAGTGAAGCTGTTGTAGCAGCCGGGGAGAGAGTTAAATGTTGGACCTCAGTGAGGTCAGACGCTGAGGAACGGGGTCCAGTTCATCTCAGAGGGGTCCGGGTTTTGTGCAGCTCAGCCAAGATCTTCGAGAAGCTGCTGAACAAAGCACACAGTTGCTCCAGAATGGGATTGTGTGGTTGCAATTAAGTCATCCTAGAAATCATTGGAACAATCTGGTTTATTAGCAGGAGCTCATATAGTGTTTATTGATGCTGCTTGGAATCTTTAATTAACTCCACATGTTAACCTTGTCCAGTTTAACTCTCTAGTTAAAGTACGCTCTAGTAGTACGCTCTCTAGCGATTGGCACACGGTCATGGCGCCCGGTCCTAACACGCATCTTCCATTTCATTTGTGATTGTTTTAATCACTCCATCATCATCATCATCATCATCATGCTTCCTCCAGTTCAGGCCCAGATATCTGCTGATTATTGCATAGCCTATGAGCCAAAAACGCCCCTGAATACACGCACATATCGAAATTGTTCCTCAGACGATATTTCTGCCCTTATATTCATGTGAGGATGAGCCACTCTAGCTTGTTTTGGACTGTGTGTGTGTGTGTGTGTGACGGTGTTTGCATATTGGTCTTCAGCGTGTGAGAGAACCGTGTTGATGCCTGCCGGTGTTTTCTGTCTTCATGATTTCATTTATTGTGACATGTAGCATATGCATCTCTCTCTCTCTCTCTCTCTTTCTCTCTCTCTCTCTCACCCATAAACTCCGTCACTCCTCACAAGGTCTGACAACAACCAATCACAGGCTTCCTTTCATTTGACGCACTTTGGTGTACTTGTTCATGACAAACTGGATGGCTTTTTGAGTTTGACGTTTCTGATTGGGTGGATTGTTCTCTCTCTGTCTGTCTGTCTCTCTTTTCTTCTCCAGTTTTTGTGGTTTCATTGAATGTCGACTGGCTCTATTTTTTCTTTCCTGCATCCCTGTTTCTGAACACCCCCCTCCCCCCCTATTTCTCGGTATGATGTGTTTTTTTCACGAGGGGGCGGGATTAGGCTGCAGAGTATTTGGATTGGTCCATAGGCTGCATCTGATGCTTGCTGATTGGCTGATATTCTCATTTCTGGTTAATGAACTGTAATTGGCTGAATGTGATTTTGCTAAGAGCCGTGCACAGTGTATTGATTTCGTCATGTGTGATCTCTGTTTCTCTCTATTTATCTCTCTCCTTCATTTTTAGCAATGGAATGCCCTGTTTTTCGTTTGCTTTTACGCATTGATTTCTGGGTTTTTGTGTTGAATGTTTGAAAATCAGTGGGAGTTTTTTATGATGCATGAAGCAATATAAGGGAATATCAATGAGTCCACAATTTCTGCTATAGCTGTAAATATACTTAATTTGAATATATCTTAATTTTGAGATTTGGGTGTTTTGTGAACTTCAGCACATGTTAATGACGTAATTCTCAGCGATTGAATGATGTTTACTGCAGGTGTTTGGATAAGAACAGCTCTAGATTGAATGCACCAGTTTTCTGCGTCTCTGATCAGATGCTCGTTCTCTCTCTGATGAACAGGTCAACAACGCTACGGCTCGAGTGATGACCAATAAGAAGATGGTTAGCCCGTATACTAACGGAGAAGGTCTCAGCACGCTGCCCTACGGTAAAACCAGCTCGCCACAGTTTTCAGGTTTTGTTCAGTTGTTAGCGACGAGGCCAGGTGGTTAATCTGAGGCTCTTCTCTCTGTTTGGCTTCAGCGGGGTGGAAGTTGAGTCCTATGATGAGCGCGATGTACGCACCGGAGCTCTACGCAGGTGAGTCGCTGAACACGAACGCTGTGCAAACAGATTGTTCGCCTTCCTGTTGAAGTGCATCATTACTCTTGTGTTGGTGAACGTTTTGAGATGACATGTAGCGTAAACAACACTGTAAAGGCCTGTTCACACTGTAACGATGACTTTATTTGCGTCCAGCCAGCAGTAAGTCTGTTTATTCTAAGCTTGCGTGCTGCAGTGTCAGAGTAACCAAAGGAAAAACAGATGCTCTTCGTCACGGAGAATTCGTTACTCTGAGTTTCGATAAACTTTAGTTTTTTAGTCATTATCAGTTTGTTTTTGCTGTTCTTGTTGAATTTTCACGGCTTTCACCGGCAGATGTCCTCAGTATGCTTCATTTCAAACGCAGCTAACCAGTGAATCTAGATCTAATCTAACCGTGAATTTAGCTAATGTAGTGGAATAAAAATAACACATACTTATTTTCACTGCAAAGTAAGGGCTGGTCGATATGGCAAAAAAAATAAATAAAATCTTGATTTTTTTAAGAACGTTTGACCGATTCTCTTTTTTTTTTTTTTTTTTTTTTTTTTTTTTTTTTAATATTTAATTTAACAATTAATTTTTTTTTTTTTTTTTTTTTTTTTTTTTTTTTTTTTTTTTTTTTTTTTTTTTTTTTTTAACAAGTCAACTTGAAAATGTAACTACAACATGATTCAAGTAACTTTTTCATGTTATTAACCCTCTAGTTTAAAAATTCTATATTAAGTGAGCCACAAATGAAGTTGTCAACATGATGTAAATGTTAAACAAAGCACTTGTTAACGTTAAATATCTTTGCAAAAAAGATGCATGAACTACAACTACATCTTGTACAAACTTGTCTTATGTATATTATATGTTCAGAAATAATACAAGGAAAATGCTTTTTTTTTTAAATCAAGGAATTTAAATTATAAAACAGATAGTTCCGGTGCTTGATTCTGATTGGCTGAGCCGCGTTCGAAGCTGTTGTAAATGACTCTACAAAGTAACATACACCTTTGTTTACGTTGTGTGTTGCTCGGCGACCACAACTGTTTCTGAGGAACTACATTGTTTGGTGGAAGAATACTGTTTTTATTAATATCATTACACTTTATTTGCTCTGTTTTATTTAGTGAAACCTTACTACGTATATGGAATAACCGTTTTATAAAAGCAATAAGCCCCGTGAAGCCGTGGTTTACAGTGAATTTATAACAGCTAAGGGGTGTTTTTAGGTACGATGCGAAGCGGAGTTAGCTGTTATAAATTCACTGTAAACCACGGCTTCACGGGGCTTATTGCTTTAATGACTGAAGGTATAACACCAGTAGACTATTATTAACTATAAATGCTCTGTAAAAACAACAGCAGCTTTCAGTCTGTCACCATGATGCAAACATGAAATATCAGACATACACTATAGTAGTTCTTTACAGGTTTTCATTCGATTGCGCTACTTTTCCGTAGTTTTTTCTTTGTGAACATACGCGTTTGACTGTGTTTTTTCAACACAAAAGCACATTCAGTGTGAACGGCATCTAGTGATATATTCTGCTTCTGGTCACTCGTGAGCGGTTCATCACGAGCGCCGACATGAGGTCGGATCATTCTTTTCTCTTTACTGTTAATAACATTGTCAACATATTGTCAAAGTGTCTAATTCTAACGTTTGGTAATATTTCTATTCAAAATCGTGATTCCTCGATTTATAAAAAATCTAATTGTGGCAAAACATTAAATTCGAATTAATTAAAAATGAAAAATTAATAAAAAAATCGCCCAGCCCTACTGCAAAAGAGGCAAAACAGTGTTGTCGAAACTAGCTCTGTTTAATGCTGTTAGCTTCATCTGCCATTTTCAATGCGTGAGTAGGGTTGGGTATCGTTCGGGTTTTTTTCGATACCGGTGCCAAATCGATACTTTTAAAATGGTTCCGGTGCCTGAACCGATACTTATTAAAAAAATAAATAACAATTCCCCAAAAAATGATGGATTGGCCATTAGCATTATAAACACATGATGTCTGTTTCATTCATACTGGACGCCAGAGGGCGCCCTCGCACATAAATACACATATCCAGTCACAGAAGTAGCGGAACTCATGACCCTCCAGGAAATCCCTTATATGGACAAAGGCATGCTATTATAGCTGTAACTGAGTAAACAGAACATATAAATGTTTTGAATGATAAAACAAAGACAATAAACACTCGACTGCAACAATATAGTTTATCTGTGTTATTCAAGCCATCTCTGGTATTTACATAATAATTAAGTATATTTATAATCCATTGCTAATCGATGTATTCTTTTTAAAGTAGCCTATGGAACATATTTTCTGCCTCATTCTGTGACAAGAAGCCTCATCAGATCACAGAAGGAAGCATTTGACTGGTGTTGTGGAGTAAAAAGGTTATAATGTTCTCTTTTGTTGGACAACAGGTTTAGAAATGTGAAGTTTATCTTTAGGCGTTTTAATTTAAGCGTTTAGCTTAGTTAACGGAAGGCTACCTGCTGGCATCAGAGCAAGTGTAATTACTGCATTCACGCGCTCCTCGGATGCTCTTGTTTCCCGAGCTATGCTTTTAAGTCGGAATGTGAAAACAACATGGACACTCTCGTTACTACAAAGATGTGTTGGATTTGTATTATTAGAGCTTTCCGACTTGAGTTCATGTGCATTTTCTCAGTCGGGAAATTATTTTTCACGTGCGGTGCCAGTGAGGATGATGCTTACATCCGTTTCAGAGAACCAGAGGACAAATATTTCAATCGATTGCTCAGGCACGGCACCGAAATCTGCGTTCTGATTCTGTTCTAGTACATACCGGTTACATAGGTACCATGGGTTTCGGTACCCAACCCTATACGTGAGAAATTCTAATGAATCCTGTTTAGCTGTCAGTGATTTATTTTCATCGTTCTGAAAGTAATCCCAATGATATCCTTCCTCTATATCGTAATAGATGTCCACTATTCTCTTAGTTCCAGGGTTTCCGTATCCCACCACCGCCGCCGCAGCAGCCGCCGCATCCACAGCTGCGACCTTCAGAGGAGCGCATCACCTGCGGGCTCGCGGGCGTCCCGTCTATGGAGCGGTGCGCGCCGCGGTTCCTCAGCCCGCCATACAGGCCTACCCGGGGTAACACACCTGTGCTGGCTTACATTCATACATACATGCACGCATGTGCACACAGACGCAGCAAATCTGATTTCTCTCTAGTTTTCTGCATGCTGCATGACCTTCTGCTCACAAAATGAGACCAGCTGATGTAAATATGCAATCAGAGTCACTCGAACGACACAAAAAATGCCATTTTCCCTGACGTGTGACCCGTTTAATGGGAAATGTAGTGTAACTTTATAACTGTTCAAGAGTGTTGTGATTCTGAACGGGATCAAAGTGGCATTTTTTTTTTCTGTTTTATGACCAAGTGCACTGCATGTGTGTGAATTAATGTTTTCACCTTCTCTTTTTCGTGGTCTTCATCTTCTTTTGTTTTGTTGTTCCCTTCGATCACCACATGGTGGCGCCCTGACCAATTTTTTTTTTTCCCCAATCTTATGTTCCTTGCTCTTCCATCTTTCTTTCTTTCTTTTCTTTTTGCTGTCATTTTGTTTTTCTGTCTCTCAGTGTGGTGTACCAGGATGGGTTTTATGGAGCTACAGAACTGTATGTAAGTATGACACTTCCTGTCTCTTGGTTTTACTTCCTCTCTCTTTCCTTCTCTCCTTCCGAGTGCTTGAAAACTGTAGCCAATAATATAAAACAGGTTTTGATTGGATGAGCCACCGAACACCTGTAGAATCTTGAATGAATGTTAGTTTGTGCCGTTGCTCGTGAAACGTCTCTAAAGGAGTTTTTTCCTTTTCTTCTTGACTTGCTCGTTACTTTTGCTGTACTTCATGTTTCTTGAACTGCGTTAGCTTAAAAACCGTACAGCTCAATCTCGAGCGCTGTTTTCAAGCGAATGACTTCCTGCAGGTCTTTTGTTGTGCATCGCTGATATTCGAGACCATAGTTTTAAGGGCTCTGGATGTTTTGGGTTTGTCAGACTGGATCTGATTCTGTCCCCTTCCCAGAGTCCCTGTCTCTCTCTCTGCGGCATGTTAACTCGATCTGTGTTGGCATGCAATCACACTTAATTCGCTCGTAGATCTCTCTCTCTCTCTCTCTCTCTCTCTCGCTCTCCTCTACTTCCTTGACTTTTCATCAGTGATTCACTCTACTCTGTTTACCTTCAAGTCACCTGCTTCTCTTCTGTCACCTCAGCCCATGTCTCTCTCTCTCTCTCTCTCTCTCTCTCTCTCTCTCTGACTCTTTCTCTCATCGATTCTTAATCATTAGAGAAACAACTCCTCTTTTTCCATGATTGTGCATTGTTTGCCACTGAGGAAGACTCACAGTGCGTAACAGACTTACGTACGGTTCTCCGAATGCGGTTTATGTTTGACTGAACATCAGTGGCAGATTGCTTGTTAATGGACTTTAGGTTTGCTTTTCTTGAACGTTTTCATGTCCTTTTTTCCCTGCTAACTCACCACTTCACCTGCCTCATTGCACCGGTGCTTATTTTAAGTGCATCTGTTGTTTTGTCTCTGTAGAGCGGCTATACCGCGTATCGCTACACCCAGCCGACGGCGGTAGCGAGTCCCACAGCAGCGGCGGCAGCAGCATACAGCGACAGGTGAGCGAGTCAGACCGGAATTTTTTTTTTTATTAAAGTGGTTTACTGAACAAATTGCTCTTTCTTTAAATAAATGTAATTATAATTAAAATTCTTAGGGATAAAAATCTACCTCATGCTTACGCCCCAAACTACATGGAGCCGTTTTACATTACTGTAAGGTTATAGTTAACAACAGAGCCCAAACTTACATTTAATTGCTATTTATTTTTAAATATAATAATCAACACTCAACTTTTTAAAAAAAAATGTATGCAAAACATGTAAATTGCACATAATGCAGTTTTTAAATTAACTTGTAAATTATAAAAAAATATACAGCATCAAAATAGCATCTATTGTTTGAATTTCCTGGGAAAAAATGGACATTATTTTAAAGATGAGACTTTGTTTCTTATCAAAAGTAACAATACAACCGGATGTTTCCAGTGAAGTTCCGCTCGTGCAGTGGTTGAAACAATGTATTTGTTCTGCACACATGCGTACCGAACCGAAAGACCCATACTGAAAATGTTCTTTATTTAAAGAAAGAGCAATTTGTTCAGTAAACCACTTTACGAATACGTGTACCGTTACGCCCCTATCATCTACTCAACCTCATGTCATTCCAAACCAGTATGACTTTCATTCATTTTCAAACACAAAGATATTTTTTTTAAAAGCTGAGAGATTTCTGTTCCTCCAGTGAAAGTCTGTTCACCTAAAATATTCAAGCTTAAAAACATTCATAAAAAAACGTAAACGTGCTCCATGTGACTCCAGTGGTTAAATCCCAATTTTATGAACCAATAAACAAAACACAAAAAATAAGTATGTATTGACTAAATATCTTCACTGCGGCATGGATATCTGATGCGAGTCTAAAGTCAGAGATTCAAAATGAATTACTTTTACATTGTTTAAGAAGTTTTGGATGCGTTTCAGCGGCGGGGAAGAAATCTCTCCGCTTTTATTAAAAATATCTTCTTTTGTTTTCCAAAGATGAAGGAAGGTGTTATTGGAATGACATTAGAGTGAGAAAGTGATGACAGAATTTTTGGGTGAACGATCTCTTCAAGGAACTAAATTAAAATGAAACAAATGAAATGAAAAACAAAGAATAACAGTAAATAATATTTTATCACGTATATATGTATTTGTATTCTCTCTCCCGTGTAGGACTAATATGTCAAACTCAATCTTGTCTCGTCACATTCAGTTATAGATAAAGAGGATTCAGCGTATGTTTTCAATATAAATCAGCAAAATTTGACAAAGTTGAGTAGTTGGCATCACTGGATATTACTGTTGCTTCTTTAACATTCCTGTTGTCAAATAGTAAATGTTTAGTTGCATCTGACGTCACACTCGCGTTCTGCTTCTGTGAACAGTAAAGCCCCGCCTTCTTTGATTTGATTGGCCATCTCAATGGTTTTGACATTGACGAGCGTTACAATGTAACTTTTAAAATGTCGCACACTGAACATTAGATACAGTGGACGGACAGCCATTTCTGTGTATCTATGCTGCTTACGGCTCGGATTATGAGCTTTAGTCATGTGTTTCTCTCTGAGACGTGTGCATCTGTGTTTTGCAGCTACGGTCGCATGTACACAGCAGATCCGTATGCGGCTGCGCTAGCGGCTTCTCCGGCGGCGGCGGCGGCGGCAGCAGCGTATGGAGTCGGCGCGATGGTAAGCTTCGTCTCCGTCTCTCCGTCACGCTCTCAGATCCTCAAACGCTTTCTAACCGAACCTCTCTCTCGCAGGCCACTCTCTACAGAGGAGGATACAGCCGGTTCTCGCCATATTAATACACTTCCAGATTCGCTGTCTCTCTGAAACTTCACCAACGGCTGCTGACCTCGGAGGGAAAAATCCAATCACACTCTTGGAAACAAAAAAAAATTTTTTTAAAAAGCGAAGCACGTCTGTTACGAACAAACTTTGAATAAGGAATGCAACTAAGCACGTCTGTTACGAACGAACTTTGAATAAGGAATGCAACTATAAGTCAATACATCGAAGAAGATGGAATTGTTTTTTTTTTTTTTTTTTAAAGGAAACCTGAAAACGTCGAACACTAAATGGTAACAGATCTCTGACTGAGAAGCGCAAATCATTTCTTCCTTTGGCTGGTCTCTCTGCACATATGCAGTTTTCTTTTTGATGTATTACTCTCTCTCCTTCTCTTCCAGGTTTAATCTGCCATTTATTTTAGTCCTGCTTCACACCGCACACGTCAGCAATGTATATTTCTTTTTCTGAGTCCACATTAAAGCAATAATTCATCGCTTTTCATTTCATATGAATAGGTTTTTGATATTGTTTGAAGTGGCTCGTTAATTATTTCAAGATAGCTGGACGTGGAGTTGCAGCCTGGTCACGTGACCGGTTTCTTTATCTGTGAAAACACACCTGCATTTCATCATTTTTTGTTTTGTTTTTGCAGGACATCATGTGTTTCAGTAGATTCTAGGTGTAACTGTATCCTGGTCCAGGACTGAAAACATTTAGCCATTTTAGAGTTTGGGAAGTAATTTGGCCTCAGCTTGTTTGAGAGGATGAGGGCCGTGTTTCATTGACACTAAGATACTGGCCTAAAGAAAAACTGACCACAGTCTGAACACTAAACCCAGACAGCTTGATTTTATTCGGTTTTTGTTTAAATGGTACTTGCAGTCTATGCATACACTTTCCACAGTATTATAAGAGATTAAAATGATCTCGGCTCCTAAATTCTGAACTTCTGGCTTTTAAAGATGCGGCAGATCTGCTGGTTTCTCTCCTCCTGTCCTTCGCTGGTTTCTCCTGCAGAGATCTTTGCTCTGAGACGGCTTTCTCGCATGACGCTCGTCTTCTGATGATGGAGTGAGAAGGCTGAAATCCCTCCATTCCTGCAGTAAAGGATTAAAGCTGGCGTCTCTTTTATTCTCCATTCTCGCACCTTATGAATATGATACCTGTTCCACATACTCTCCTTTGGTTTACAGTGTAACCGTGTTTTTGAGTTCAACTCTTTCTCTCTCTACATATTCTGATTCCATTTGTGATGTAATTTGTATCTGAATGTCCATATAAAATGTTTTTTTTTTAAAACAACCACTCGATGGGTCTTTGATTTCAGTTGACTGCTTTAATATTGTAGATGGACATGGGGAGAAATTCTACCTAATTTGTGGTCTTCATGAGATGCTCGTCTCGATGTAAAGGAATCTTATTTGGCTGAAAGTGTAAATCTGTAATGTCAAATTGTAAATAATGGCATATTGCTGATGGTTAAATCTTAGTGTTTCTACATTTATGCGAGCTAAACTAATGGTTTATTACCTTCAGTATCTTCAGCCGTCGACTGTCCTCTTTTCCGTCGTGTGTGAGAGAGAGAAGACTTTATCTTATATTTAGCATATATTTTTTAATCCAATATCCAGTTGTATTTCTTCCTTTCGAACTAATGAACTCCCGCATCATTACGCTCGTGTTATTTAATCGAATTTTCATTTAAAACAGATGTTGTGAAGTGAAATTCTCTCACCTCAGAAAAGCGCGCGGTTCCCTGAGCTGAGTTTCGCAGCAATGCTACGTGACGTAGTGAGAAAACATAATAGAACGGTGCACATCTCAGTTCCGTATAATCTACAATTTTAGAAAACGTTCATATAGGAGCTCCAGCAGACAACGTTTATTAGTAGTAGTATTACTATTAGTATTATATTACTTAACAACAACCGTTCTAAAAAGGACCCAGCAGTAAGTATGCTGGTAACTATATAAAGCCATTTAAACATGTTCTTTGATATTTTTGATAGCATCTAATATGACCAATTTATGAAAACCCTTTTCATGGTTAGTGGTTCATGTTTGGACATTCCTAAGAGTGCATGAAGCGAAAACTTTGTATGAAATCGTCTTATAATGGTCCCAGTTTAAAGGTTTTAATAGAGAAAATTCTCATCACACAGATTTATGGGAAAATAAATGTTTATTTTTGTGTTCTACTGCCAAATCAGTGGTTTTTAATTAACCATGATGAATTGATTCTGACACAAACACAATCATATTTACAGTTCAAAAAAGTAAAGTTGATTTGAACAGTTCTTTATTTTTCATTAGGAAAGCGAGACTGAATGATATTGTGGCTGTGAGATTGATTCCTCCTGCTAAGAGCTCCAGTGAAGAGCCAGAGCTCGTGGTGAAAGAGTTACTGTGTCCTTTTTTCCCCCAATCTATTAATCACATCCCATCTTCTGTGTGTGTTGGCCTGAGAGTGTCTGCTGCCGGTTCAGTCTTGGCGTGAACGGACGATTCTATAAACTAGTGATACTCGATAATGCTGGCTGATGGATGATCTCCGGAAGAGAGCAGGAGGATGGATGAGGTGGCTACAAGATCCCATATTTGGCCAGATCACTAAGCTCCATGTCGCCGAAAGCTTCCCAGGGGCAGATCACCGTGATGTCTGTGCAAAAACCAGAGAACGAAAGCCGTCAGGTTCATCGCTGCATAAATATAATGAAACGACCAATAGCTGAAACTCTCGTTGCCTGTCACTTACCTGTGCCGAGACCCTCCATCCCAGGGATGTCGTCTCCGAAGCCTTTCTGTCCGGGTTTGGGAGCCTTGCTCTTGAAAGTGCGAGCGGTCCTCTGCTTGAACTTTGGGGGTCCTCTCTTCTCAACAGGTGCTGGGACGTCCATGTCTGCCACTTACTAAAACATAAAAGTTTCCTTTAAAAAGTGATTATATTGAATCTGTGTTACGCTTCTCTCCGTTAGAGCTTTAATCGTTCCCTCATCTGATCTCGTTCTCACTCTTTACTCATGTCCTCGACACGTTTGCTGTTAATCTTCTCATTTTGGGATTTTGTTAATCCTAATCTGCCGGTTACACAATGAGTGAGTATATTTACCAGCATCTGTTTGCCTTGTGATATATACAGACAGTGTGAATAATATGCTCTTTACATAACCTCGGCGAGGAAATGCCCAGCGCTCTAAATCACATTTAGCCTAGCCTACTTCTGCAATCTGGCAGAAATGTACCAGAGCTTCTGCTTTCGTCTAAATTGGGTTTTTTTCTGCACTGTACAGTTCAGCTTCAAACAAAGAAATGCAGTCAGTCTGATTTCAGTTTGAGGCTGTTGTAGAGAGTGTCTTTATTTAATGTTTAACTGAATGTCTATAGGCAAGTCGTTCTGTTTATTTTCTATCCGCTCTTTATCAGTCCACTGAAAGTCTATCGGTGTTGTTTTTATGTTCTGTCTGTTTTGTGGTTTTCTCCTCTTCTCTCTGCTCTCAGGTGTTGTGTATTAACTAATAATAACACTGTAATACCGTAGCATGTTACCTGACTGTGTGTAATGGTAGTTTTCTCAGTATGTCGTGCTGTAGCTGTGTTTCTGGTTTCTGGCTCAGGTGAAGTGAATCTCTTACCCGTCTGCTGGAGTTTCTGGTTCTTCTTCTGTGTCTCGGTTTCAGCTGGTGTCCAGTGTGTCTGCCGGACGCTTTTATAGCGCTCCTCTAATCTCCTGCTCCTCAAACACCTCCTCTCACAGAAACAGATAGAGGGATCTGGAGTATTTCAAGCTCTGTGTGTTGGTGAGGACACGTGTGTGGAAACAGTCATAGTGTAACACGTCCACATTGATGTCATTACGATGCATCACACATGAGCTGTGCTGAAATATGATGAATGTATCTGCATGGCCATTTAGTTGATTAATATGCAGTTTCATATTCTCAGCACATGCTGCATCATGTGGTTTTATTTTTTTTATATTAAATGCATTAACAAAAACTATAAGACCAATCAAATGAACAGTAAACAAATTTATCCTAAATCTAAAAATAACAAGTTTTGTTTGCATTTTGTGTTTGTCCAACTGTACGTTTATAAGAATGTCATTCATTGCCTAACAAATGTTTTCTGTCGACTAAACCAAGCTCAGACGTGGTGTGAGGTTGTGTTGAGGTTATGAGTCGTTGCTGGTCTCAGATCAGTGTTTTCAGTCTTTCCTCTGACCTGTGTCTGCTGAGAGTGAAGAGGATCCACCGTTCGCATCTGTTTTTAGCTTTGAGCAACTTAAAAAACCCAGCAGCTGATACTGTGAGAAAAACACACATGATCGCCCTGATCCCACACACATACGGTTAGAGATGAACTTTACTAATTCAAGAATAAGTAGCTCTAATCCACAATCCTGATTGGCTGTCCTGACGGTCATTTAGGTGATTGTATAATTAGCTGTCTGCCCGTTAACAAATACTGCAGTGTTCTCACATGTGTTTGTTTATTTGTTGCTGTCTTGTTTTAGCAGTGACACGTGTTCAATCTCTCTGATGAGGTGCTCGTGGTCTTTCAGTGGGGTTTATGTGCAGATTGTCTTATGAAAAAATCTTATTAAAGCCTAAAGTTATTGAAGATATTTAGATAATATCTTCCAGATTTCGATTAAGATGTAGTGTCCCATTTATTGTATTAGCTATCTAGAATCTGAAGTGTCAGTCAAATCAATGCTATTTTTGCCGTGTACAATAAATACAGCTTGCATAGTTTATATAAATGTAAATATATGACTGTAACAACAGCAAAGTTGTAAGAAAAACCAAATAAATCTTAACAGTCACGAGCGATATCTCTCATCCGCCATGTTTATTGTCCGTCCAACTTGGAAACATGGGTATCAAAATTTTCTCAGATTCCCAAAAGTAGCCTAAATATGACATTAATGTCCAATTCCCGACTATGCAACTTGTGTTTATGATCATTCTGATAGCATGTGAAGGCAGCATTGGATCTTTGTGCCAATAAAAGAAACTGAAGATGCTGCTGTAGTAGCCTCTGGGTTAAATGTTGCATAACTATATGAAAACAGTTCTTTGAGCAGAGCATTAGCTCTGTTTTAAATC